CCATCCTCGTGTGGCCCCTCCAGACCCTTCCCCATCCCTGTGTCCTCCTTTGGATCCTCTCCAACACCTTTAGATCCTTTCTTACATTGCAGCACCCGAAGCTGCCCCCGGGACTGGGGGTGAGGCCTCCCCAGAGCAGGGCAGGACCTTCATGTCCCCACCTTCAACCACCTGTTTCTTTGTCCCTGAAAGGTGAGAGGCAGAGGCTGAGCCACCTCAGACCCTCCATCCCACCTCAGCCCCTCCATCCCACCTCAGCCCCTCCCTCCTGCCCCTCCTGAGCCGTGTGTAGGCAGCCTCTCCCAGCAGCCATATGTCTCCTTTGCACCCTCATTTAGCTCAGGAGCGGGTCTGTTCCCTGAGGAACAAGGCCAGCAATGGAGTTTATTTAGCAGGAGCTTCCTGCCTTTCCCAGATTTGCTGTTGGATCCATCCAGGCTGGGAATGTGGGACTCCTCTTGCTTTTATTCCCTGCCCAGCCAGGAGCTGCTGCTGCTGCTGCATTCCCAGGGCTCGGCGGCTGCGAACTGCGGGTGGCGAAAAGGCAGCAGAGGTGGAATTCCATGTTCCCCTTTTGGAGTGAAGAGGAGGATATGAACGTGTCCAGGCTCCCTGGCCCGTGGCCAGCGTTCCCAGTGTGCCACTGCTGGCCCAGTTGCTTTGCCAGCCCTCAGCTCGACAGCACCTCACCCACCTTCTCCCTTCCACCTTCTCCCACCGGTGCTTCCTTCTCTCCCCCGACACAGATTTTTGTGGCTTCCCTGACGTCGCATCCCTGTCGTTTTTTTCCTCTCCCGAGGCCCAGCTCGATCCCACCCCCCCCTTCCCCGAGTCCTCTGAACTTCCCCACCCTCTGCAAGCCTCTGTCTGTCACCAGCTCGTGTTTGCCACCCCCTCGCCCCGGCCCACGGCTGCCCGAGGGAGCGGGGCTGATTCATTCATCCCGCAAGGAATCCTGCTCTGGGAAGCAGCAGAGCACAGATCTCCCCTGAGCTCTGTGTGCAGGGAGAGCTCCTGGAGGCTGCCTGGCGGGCAGGGAAGCTGCAGCAGGAGGGGGCAGCTGATAAATGTCAGTTCTGTGGCTCTGAGTTGTCGTTTCTGGGAAAAAATCCGATGATGTTTCCCTGTGTGGTGCTGGAGTTCCGTTGCAGCAGGATGGGAGAGGATCCCGTTATCCTTCTGAAATTTGGCTGAGGTGTTTGGCTCGGGGGGAAAAGCTTGTTAGAGGGTGGGTGGTGCAAAGGGAATGAGCTGTACAAAACCTGCTCTTCTGTTTGAGTGTCGTGTGTGCAGATCCGGTGCCACCTCCTCCTTCCCTTCCCCAAATCTGCTCCAGATCCTCCTGGATTGTTTAGACAGGCCCCCAGCCTGGGCACAAGGCTGGAGTTTCCTACACTGTGGAGTATTTTGGGGAGGGGAGAGGCAGAGTCCACCACCTTCACCCCCTGCCTAATCCAGACTCCCACAAAGGAGGCACATCAGGCAAGTGCTCCCTTTTCCCTTCCTGACCCAATTCCTGCTGGAGCCCTGAGCACAGCGGGATTCCCCGGGGGGGACTCCTCACCCTGCACAGGCAGCATCCCTGGGAACACCCCAGCCTGCTGGGATGAGGCCAGGCCCCTGCAGCTGGAGGATGGATGCTTTCCCTGCCCCCTTTTCCCATGGATTTCATGGGATATTTCCCACTTGCTGAGGTGCTGCTCAGCCTTGACTTAAGTAACTTTTCCCTTTCCTGGTTGTCCCATCCCTGGCTCTGGACTGGCAGCAGTGAGGGAACAGCTCGTGGGAAACCTCAGGCAGGTGGTGGTGGGGTGAGGGAAGCTGAGGTGGCTGAGCTGCCTCCTTGTGTTGTGGGGGCTGGGATTTGGGGCAATAACGCAGGTTTTTGGTTGTTTGCCCTGGGGCAGAGCAACAGCTCAGGTTCCTGGAATTTATTTCAGGGATGCTTGTTGGTTTAGGGCTGCCCTTGGTCTCTCTCTACACCAGTCACCTGCCTGGGGACCTCTCTCTGCCTCAGGGCCTTTGTCCAGCCCTGCTGGTGCCTCCAAAATCCTGGTGAGATCCACAGAGCTCCTGCCAGGTCCCCTCAAACGGGGGCTGCACCCAAGGGCTGGGTGGGGGGGGCTTCAAACAACCACTGGGTTTGGGGTCTGCCCACAAGGTGGGTTCCAGGGAAGCTACAGCCTGGATGTGCAGGAGTTTGTGTCCAGGGGGAACCTCCCTCCACCCCCTGACTCCCTCCCTGTCCTGCCCCGTGCCCCCTCCTGCAGGTGCCCGTCGCTGCCTCGGAGGGCTCCGAAGATGTCCAACAGCAACACGGCACAGGAGTCCCTGGAAATTATGAAGGAATCGGAAAAAAAGGTGGTTGAGGAGTCTGTGAACAAAACCAAATATGTATCCAGGTCACCAAGCAAGGAGGAGGCGGAGAAGGACGGGGGGGAGGAGGTCAGCGTGCGCCAGGAGTCTCAGGTGAGTGTGGACGGGGAGAACTGGGCCCTTCCCTGCTGCTTCCCGTCCCTTCCCAAAGGGACACGAGGCTTTTCCACGGGGCCCCCACACTGTGCAGCCTTCCCAGCCTGCTCCCTGCCCTGTGCAGACTGGAATAATTGAAATATTCCCTGGGGACACACTCGTGCTCCGTCCCCCTGTCGTGACCCGCGGGATCAGAGCCCCCTTTTGTGTCCCGGGAATGGCAGAAAACTTCCAGGCTGAGCTTCCTGCCTTCCCTTCCCTCTCTCCACAGAGGCGAACGTCGAGCCACGGGCACGCCAGGAAAAGAGCCAAGGTAGGACCTGCCCTGACATCCTGGTCTTCTGTGGGCTGTTCTGAGCTGAGCCCTGAGCTGAGCCCTGATCCCAGCCTTGGGATGCTGCTCCCAGGCCTTTCCTGTCTCCAGAAGCCACATGGAGCAGTTGATGGTTCAGGACAGGGAATTCCATGTGCTGGAAACGGGGGAAAGGCTGGAATTGCTCTGGCTGAAGATCAGAGAGTGCAGGAATTGAGGCAGGGAACTTCTCACTTAAAGTGTGGTTCAAAGGCTGAGGGAGGAAAACAACTGATTGCTCAGGGATTCCAAGGCATTGTGTGTCCCTGGATACCCCTGGATATTCTGTTATTAACTAGTTTAATTGGGAATGGCTGCACCAGTGGCCTGGGAATGCCACTGCAGGAGCTCAGGTGTGTGTTGCCTCAGGTGTCTTAACCACCCTCTTTCTTTTCCTTCTCCAGTCCAATTCAAAGCTTAAACTGGTCAGGAGTTTGGCTGTGTGTGAAGAGTCCTCGGGCCCCTTTGTGGATGGGCTGCTGGAGTCCCAGGTAGGCCCAGAATGAGACAAATTTGGGAGTGTGGAAGCCCAGAACATCCACATCTTGCCAGAACCGACGTTGTGTCCAGGGCCAGTGCCTCGGGGAGCCAGGAAATTCCCACAGGAGCTGGCTGGGAAGGAAGTGGCTGTGCCTGGGACCCCTGCTCGTGGGTGTGGAGGCACCTCAGAGCCTGCCCAGGGCTCCCTGGGAGGAGGGTGGGGAGGGACAGCTCTGTCTGCTCTCACAGAGAGTTTCCTTATGGATTCCTATGGATTGTCTGTGACCTGAGACCTTCCCGGGGTGCTTCTCTCAGCCACCAGCATCTCCAGCCACAGCCAAGGCTCAGGGGGTGTCTGAGGGGCTCCAGCCTGCTTTGTTCTGTTCCAGGACATCATCCAGCTGCACGTGAGCTGCCCCTCGGACAAGGAGGAGGAAAAATCCACGAAAGATGGGGTGGAGAAGGAAGAAAAAGACAAGAACAAAGAAAAAACACCAAGGAAGATGCTCTCTCGAGGTCAGGTGCTGGTTTGAACTGGGGAGGTGTTGGTTTGGATGGGGCAGATTGGGAAATGTGGGAACATCATCCCTGTAAAGACACACAGGCACAGCCCTTCCCCTTCCCTTCTTCCTCTTCCTTCTTCCCCCTTTCTCCTTCCCCCTTCCTTCTCCCTTCCCTTCCCCTTCCCTTCCCTCTGGGCTGTTGCAGTGCTCTGTTAATTTGTTCTGCTGCTGCTGTTGTTGTTTCAGATTCCAGCCAGGAATACACAGACTCCACTGGAATAGATTTGCATGAATTTTTAGTAAATACACTGAAAAAAAACCCACGGTAGGTGCTGGGCAGTAAAACAGCTCCCTGGGGGGGTGATGGAGGGGGTGACTCCCACCCCTGGGGGTGTTCCCATATCCTGGGGGATTGCAGCACCTGCAAGTGTGTTTGTGTTTTCCTTCTTGGAATTCCAAGAGCGTTACCAGTCCTGGGGCAGTGCAGAAATAAAAAGCATAATGGTAATTTATCTCCTGTTTCGTTCCAAACATGGAATTTTGTGTGATGGAGAGAGAGAGAAAGAAAAATGGCTTGTTTGGATGCAGTGAAGGAGTCTTGATTGTGTTAAACCCCGTTCTGTAAGTGGTTGTCAAATACCAACCTGCAAAGGAGCTGCTGTGGCAATAATCCACGGAATCCAGGGAAAGGCTGGCATGGGAACAGCAAAGCTGGAGTCACCACCAGTGGAGCTTCCAGCAGAGCAGGGATTCAGGCTTTCCAAAGCCAAGCACTGTTAGCAAAACAACCTTAAACTGAAAAGATCTGGTGATTAATTTAGCATGTCTGAAAAACGTGGAGTGTTCCAGCCCCTTCCCCTGGGGGTGGGTGAAGCCAGGTCGGTGCTGCCACTTGGGCTGGGTGTTTGGGACCCTCTCTGCTGCAGGAGAGGGGCTGGGAGCAGGGAAAGCTGTTCCACTGTCCCTGAAGTGGCCTTTTCCTCTCTCTTTTCTCGCCAGGGATCGAATGATGCTGCTCAAATTGGAACAGGAGATCCTGGAGTTTATTAGTGATAACAAGTGAGTGAGTTTGTGCTGAGCAAAAAAGGGGTTTGTGAGGTGGAGCTGAGGAGTTTGGGCTCCCAGGGGAGAAGGGAACATCCCCTGTTCTCTTGTACATCCTGATATGACACTGCTTGGAATTGTGACCCTCTCCCTGCCTCTTCCCAGCAATCAGTTCAAGAAGTTCCCTCAGATGACCTCGTACCACAGGATGCTGCTGCACAGGGTCGCTGCCTATTTTGGGATGGACCACAACGTGGATCAGACTGGGAAGGCTGTCATCATCAACAAGACCAGTAACACACGAATGTAAGGGGGAGGGAGCCTGCCCTTTCCCTTTGCCCTTGCCTTTTCCCTTTTCCTTTCCCTTTCCCTTTCCCTTTCCCTTTCCCTTCTCCCTTCCCTTCCCCACAGCCCAGGAGTGCTCCAGAGCAGGATGGGTTCCACACCACACTTTTTTGCCTCCTAAGAAGGGCAGGGCCCCTCTCTAGAAGAATCAGGTCATGGAATGAATAAGTAGGGAAGATCCTTCCCTTCCAGCCCTCCCTGGCTCTCCACAGTTCCCAGAGAAGGGCAGGAGCTCTCGTTGCCATCAGCCAGAGCTGGAATTTCACACAGCAAACACCTCTGCATGTTCTGGGCCCCTTTCTTCCCTCCTAACAAGGGCTGGTTTTCCTGCAGCCCCGAGCAGAGGTTCTCTGAGCACATCAAGGATGAGAAGAATGCAGAGTTCCCACAGAGGTTTATCCTGAAACGGGATGACACCAGCATGGATCGGGATGACAACCAGGTGAGGGGGGGGTCTGCATCCCTTGGGAGAGTCAGATGTGACCTGTCTAAGATGAGAACAACTCCCAGGGTTCTCTTGGGTTTCCTCCAGTAACATTGAATAGGAGCTCCCACCCCACCCAAGCAGCAGCATCTCAATATGAAAACTTCCAAACACCATGGAAAGGGATGAAGAACTGTGGGGGTGCTTCTCCATGCCCTGAAATCATCTGGGGGCTGGGCCAGGCTTTAAGGTGAAGCCTTTTGCCAAGGTTTCCTTGGAAATGCCCTGAGCTGAGTGTTGCCAAGTGTGTCTCCCCACCTTTCCTTTAAAAGACCTTAAAGATCATCCAGTCCCACCCCAGGCCATGGGCAGGGACACCTTCCACTATCTCAGGTTGCTCCAAACCCCATCCAACCTGGCCTTGGGCACTTCCAGGGATGGCACAGCCACAGCTTCTCTGGGCAACCCGTGCCAGGGCCTGCCCACCCTCCCAGGGAGGAATTTCTTCCCCAAATCCCACCCAGACCCAGTCCCATCACCCCAGCTCTGTCCCGTGCTCTGGGACGTGTTCCTGGGTCTCAGTCAGGGGCAGGAGCTGTTTGCTGCAGTCAGTGCCAGTTTGTGGTCTCCCTGTGGTGCCACTCAGGGCTGCAGCTGCCCACGGAGCTCAGAACCCACGAGGGAGCAGGAATGTTGGCACGGGCTCCAAACAGTGGCCTTCAGCTTTCCTCCCTGGGAATTGGTGGTATTCCAGACCTCTGGATCAGGCAGAGTTCAGGCAGGGTGGTTGTGCTTGAGGCAGGAGGTGGATGGATGTCCAGGAATGTCCATCCCTGGATGCCTGTGGGATGTTCATGCCTAGACACAGGTGGGTGCAGAGGCAGAGGCCGGCTCACCGCTCCCAGGCTCCACAATCCACCTCCTGCCCGACATTCCCAGCAGCTCCCCCTGCTCCTGCTGGCAACTGCTGACCCCTGAGCTGTGTTTGTCCCTTCAGATCAGACTCCCCTTGCAGGATGGGAGAAGGAGCAAATCCATAGAAGAGCGAGAGGAGGAATATCAGCGGGTCAGGGAGCGGATCTTTGCGCGAGAGGTGAGTTTGGACCCCTCACCTGCCAGGAACCTCCCGGAGCTCTGGGGCAGGAGGTGGCCTTGAGTGTGCCAAAGAGGTCAGATCTCACTGTTGCCTTTCCCACCGATTTCCCAGCGGTTTGGGGATCTGCCATTGAATTCCAGCTCCCAGCAAAGGGGTCTGAGATGTCGGGGTAGAGGAGCCACACCTGCACCCCCCAGTCTGCAGCTTCCCTAAAATTCCAGGGAGCAGCAGAGGTGGCAGAGGAGGCAGTTCTGCTCCTTGCTGCCCCAAAGATTACAGGTTTACGCAGTGGCAGTTTTGGGATGACCAGAAAACCAGTTGCTGAACCCAAAAGGAGCAGCAGCTGCATCTCCCCAGTGCTGCAGCTTCCACCTCCTGACCCAGCAGTGCAGGGCTCTGCCTTCCCAGGAGGAATGTGGCCCTTTCCAGGAGGAATGTGGCCCTTTCCAGGAGAAATCTGCATCTTCCCTGGGCTCAGGGCCTGCTCACTCTCCAGCCAGGGGTGGTCAGGGATTTGTCTTACCTGCACAGGCCCAAAGTCCTGGCTTAGGGCAGGGGCTGTAGGACAGCACAGAGTGGGATGTCCTGACTCCTGCTCAGTGTCCTGGCCTGAGCCAGCTTTGCCTCTGCCTTCCAGAGGCAGGGATGACCAGCATGGATCAGGCTGGGCTGGCCTTGAGCCCACTGCCTGGTTTTCCTGGCAATAAATGCCTGGCCTTGATTGTCACGTGGAGGAAGGTGCCACCAGAGCTGCCTCAGAGCAGGGGAGGAGGGAGCTGAGGACTCAGATTTGAGAGATCCTGGGTCGCAGGTGCCAGGGAAGGTTCCCAAGGGCCTGGATGGAGATCCACAGGGATCAGGAGGCTCAGCACCACTCCTGTACCTGCTCACAACACACCCCATGTCCCAGCCCCACCCTCTGGAACCACCTGGGGTCGTTCTTTCAGAGCCACTAAGTCTCCCTTTTCTTTCCTTCCCTTCCCACCTCCGTGGTCGCGCTCCCAGTCTGGCCAGAACGGATTCCTCACGGACAGCAGGTGAGTGCTGCCCAGCACCCTGGGGTGTCCCCAGAGCCCTGAGTGCTGCCCAGAGCCCTGAGTGCTGCCCAGCACCCTGAGTGCTGCCCAGCACCTGGGGGTGTCCCCAGAGCCCTGAGTGCTGCCCAGCACCCTGGGGTGTCCCCAGAGCCCTGAGTGCTGCCCAGCACCTGGGGGTGTCCCCAGAGCCCTGAGTGCTGCCCAGCACCTGGGGGTGTCCCCAGAGCCCTGAGTGCTGCCCAGAGCCCTGAGTGCTGCCCAGCACCTGGGGGTGTC